CCCCGGACTATCCTTCTAGATGGCCAGGACACTTCCTCTGTCTTGAGTTTCCTGCTGATGTTACCACTCTCTTAGTTTCTAGGAGAGGAAAACAAGTCTAAACTTACTTTCCAGTTGGAAATGGAATGGAGAGTTAACGTTGGAATCCGGGAGAGTCTCTCCTGTGATGAAGTGGTCTCCAAGCCACTTCCACTGGGATGTCATGCCACTCTCTGGGCCCCTTGCTCAGCCTGTGCACAGGTGACAGCGCAGATGTGCCGAGCAGTCCTCCCGGACAGGGCAGTCGGTTGGAAATTAGTTTGGGGATTTGGTTCCATTTCATAGGTTCTTGAGTGTCTTGGCCTGGCACTTCAAGTGGGAGCATTCCCTGTCGCACAGACTCATGCTCTGGGCCCGTGCAGACCTGACATGGCCTCAGCCTGAGCCTCAGGGCCTGTGGTGAACCAGAGCACTTTAGTCCAGGTTCTACTGGAGGCTCTGACACTTCTGGGCCAGGGGACGTTTTCCAGGATGATAATAATTCCTCCCTGAGTTTCAGATGTCCTTGCCTGTGAGCCGGGGTAATAATTGTTTCTGAGATGATTGTAATGATTCAGTAAGGGGTGCAGCGTGTGCTGGCAGGTAGCTGCTGCTTAAGGAGCAGAAGTCGCAGTCACTCTGTCAGCCTCTCACTGTATGCTCTGTGCTTTGAGAAGTTGTGTGTTTGGTGAAAGTCCCGTCCAAACCCTAGGGTCTAGATGAACTGTTGTTCCTTTACTTTCCCTTCCTTTTCCTCTTTCCCTTCTCTGTTTCTCATGTGTGGTTATCAGATTCCTCTGTTTCAGGGAATACAGGCCTTTCTAGTAAAAGGACAGGCTGAACGCGGAGAGGTGGGGTCCGGAGGGGGTCTGGAGCATCTGCACAGCGCTGCTTCCCTGCGTTTCTGCATCTGGTCCCGTCAGTGCACGAAGTCAGCCTTCCTCTTCCTTCCTGTGTCATTGGGTCTCTGTTTTAAGGGAAAACTTTTATTCCGGGTCTTTGTTCACTTACATGTTTCGTTCAGATGCTTGTTGCTTTTCTCCCTGTGCTTCAGCGTTCCGAGGAGCGAATTCAGCAGTGCAGCATCCTCTCCGAGCTCTATGAGTTGATCGGCTTCCACTGCAAGTCCGCCTTCTTCAGGCGGGTGGCCCCCGTGCAGCGCACGGCCCCCGGCATCCCAGAGCCTGGCGGGAAGACCTGCTACTGACTCCTCCTGCAGACGCTTCCTGGCTACATTCTGTCACTGGACCTGCAGGACTTCAGCAAAGGTGTTGGAACTAAAACATTGCTTCAGTCACATTAACCATGTCTGGTTTGGGCCCTGCTGTCCTGTCTCATCAGGGTGAATTCTGATTCGTGTAGAACAGGGCTGAGCAGAATTTTCTCTGTCAAGGGCTTGGAAGTAAGTATTTCAGAGTCTGCAAGCCTCCTGATCTCTGGTGCAGCTGCTCAGCTCTGCTGTTCAGACGCCAGAGCGGCCGAGCAATCCACACACCCACAGAGCTTTATTCACAGCGGTGCCTGGGGCTGGATTGGGTGTATGAACTGCAGTTTGTCCCCACAGCCTCCTCACTATTGACGCCTGCACCAGAGCGTGCATTTGCGACAATGGGTGAACCTACACTGACACGTCATCATCACCCAGAGCCCATACTTGACACTAGGTTTTACACTTGGTGGTGTGCACTCTGTGGGTTTGGACAGATGTACAATGACATGTATGCACCGTCACAGCCTCATATAGAGTAGTCTGTCTTAGTGACCCTAAAAATGCTCCATGGTGCACCTCATTCATTGCTCCTTCCCCTCTAGCCTCTGACAGCCACTGATCTTTTAGTCTCTGTGGTTTTGCCTTTCCCAGAACACCATACAGTTGGAATCAGACAGTTGCAGAACCTTCCCAGATTGGCTTCTTTCACTTAATAATATGCATTTAAGGTTCCTCCATGCCTTTCCATGTC